GCAGGCGCCGAAGTCCTGTAATTTGCCAAACTAATTTTCTAGGCGATTCTCTAGCCACACGTGTGCCTTCGCGGCCCCTGCGCCCCCCGCCGACCTCGCCGGCCCCGCGTGCCGCCACCACCTCAGTGGTCTACACGACGCCCTGGCCTGCGCCCCGGCCGCCACCTAGCCGGCCCCCGCGTGCTGCCCGCTCTCCGCGACTTCTGCCACCCCTGTGGTCTCCGTGTCTGGGCTACGCCGCGGCTCCCGCGGCCCCGGCCCTTGATGGGCACCGCGACCACCCGCGCCTCCATGCATGCGTGCTGGTTAGGCCCGGTGAACTTCCCCCTTCCCCTCCCCGGTCGCGCGGAGGGCGCGGAGCCGCGGAGCCGCGGAATCGCCTCGCGGCGGCCGACGACTGCGCAGAACAGGAAGCCATTGTTGTTTGCGTTGACAACGGCTGCGCAGCGGTCGCAGTTGCTCACTGCAATGAAGTGGAGAGCAGTGTTCAAAAAGATTGTGAATAGGGTAACCAAAGTGATGCCTTCAGTAGGTAAGTGTATAGGAATGTCTGTGCGAACTGTACGATGTAACCCCGATGTCAGGCTACATTCTAACTGCTGGTGGATGTTTGTATCCAACAGCGCCGTGTGGGTCATGGACTTGCGGTGTGCGGAGGGCCTGTGTCTGGAGGGTCAACCCTCACCGTGGCCCGGAGGCTCCGTGCTGCTTACGAGGAGAGAATTTATCATTGAAGGTAAGTCAATGCGAGACAGGTCGCGGAGTCTGCGCGAGTGCGAGGGACGGGAGAGACTTGCCGTGAGTAGGGCCCCGGGCCGAGCACCCCGACCGAGCGTCTCTGTCGCACCCCCACATATTCCGCAAGCAGTGATTTCTCTCCCACTATTTCCAGTCCGCCACTGGATTACGGTTTGTGACCGTTGTGTGTGTGTGTCTGTGTTTCAGAGAACGGTCGAGGAAATTAACTACCAGCTAGACTATGTGGAGGTCCGCTTCCACGAGCAGTCGGCCGCCCTCGAGGAGCTGGAGAAGGAGCACCGCCTGCTGCAGGAGAGTCACAAGACAACCCTGCTCGCCCTCGCGGACCTCATGGCACGGCACGACGACCTGGTGCGGCTTCACGAGGAGGAGGTGCGGCGCAGCGCTCGCCTCGTCGCGTGCGTGCAGAGGATGCAGCATGACAGCTCCTACATCAGCTCTTCAGCTTCAACCTCATCGAGGACCACACTGGTAAGTCTCGGTCCATCAATATTTAAATTTTGGGGGGCCGGGGGGGGGGGCTCATTTCACCAAACTCATTGACTATATTTGCTCATTTGCCTGAATTTTTTTTTGCAGGAGTTATCATCAGAAGGGGATTGAGAGAGCATCAATCCTGATTGAAGCTGAAATTTTATTAGTTAAATTTAACTTGTGTAAAATATGTAAGACAGACTGAATTGTAGTTATAGTTCATTGGTTGTGTATAATATGTAAGTTGATTGTGTCAAATATGTAAGTTCTAATGAATAAATGAGATGTGCTGAATTGTAGTTGTACATTTCATAACAAATTTACATTGGTTACAAAGCAAATTAACACCTCAGAGTAAAAATAGATAAAATGACAAACTAGAGAAAATACAGGAACAAGATAATATATCCCTTGAGTAGTGGGAA